TGACAATAATTTATCCGTCAATCGACGTTGAAACTTGAAAAACTTAGTAACATTTTACAGTCTGTGAGACAAGTGATTGCATTTGTAAACATATTTATATAGTGGAACTCTTCAGCTGGGATGGACCCTGTGATTTTCTTTTTCGGGCTTTTCACATAAAAATTCTCGGTGTTACTATCAGTTGTTTTCTTTCATCTGTGTGAGTGTGTATTGAAACATCATATCATAATAAAATGATAATCTACTACTCTATTGTCGTGAATTTTATAACTGTCATGAATTATAATTTAGATGTTTGATATATGAATTCATAACAATTATGTGGTCCATATATAATTTTTTTTAAAATATTATACATCGTACCACAATACGATCTTTGTTAAATACTTTAAAACTCACAGCTGTCCTTTTGTCTCCATGAAATAAATAGCTTGACTTATTGTGTTGATTCAATACTAGACAATTTTATATTTTAAGTACATTTACATAAATACCAGATAATTTTCGTTTATTTACATATATAACATCAAACCTTTCAAATTTACACATATAACATTCAAAGGATTGACATCTTATAAAACAAATACCATTATCACATCTTTTAAAAATAAATGACATTTTGATGCATATATTTCTAATACGAAAGTTTATAAATATAATTAAATTTTAGATGTTATATACGTGAAAAGTTATTGTATCAGGACTCCACACGTAGACTTACGTGCGGAGTCCAATGAAATCATGTCACGTTGAGATACAACAAAAAAGAAAAATCGGCTCGGTAACACAGGGGATTATTTCCCCTCATGTTATTCCGTGTTATTCAGGTATTATTGTTTGTTATTCAGGTGTTATTGTGTTCTGTGAATATTCTTCGGTGTTATATGAATATTCTCGGTGTTATAATAACATAATAACACATCAATAAGATTTGAATAACACACAATAACATGCAATAACACTTGAATAATACAAGAGGAATATTCTCTAGTGTTACCGGGCGAATTTTATTCTTTTTACTGTCACCGTCACATGTGATTTCATTGGACTCTGCATGTAACTCTATATTCGGAGTTCTGATGCAATATTTTATACGTAGATACATATAAATTGTATGGTCTGTAACTAAATTTCCTTATATTTTCTTGAAAAATTAAGGTTTTATGTTTATAACTTTTGGTCGAGCAGCAAATTATATTAGAATTTTGAAATATTACTTTTTCTTACATAAATATTTTACATATATAAGAATCACAAATTTTTCTCTTGCAATTATCTAATTCATCTCTAAATCCTTTCTTCTTATTTTGTTTTTCATAATTGCAAGAAAAAAACTTAATTTTAATTAATTTTATGCACCAATTCTTTAATCTTTCTATAAATGAAATAAATGACGTCACTTTGAGTAAAGCAATCTTTCAACTAGTTTTATAGAAATACCAATGCATGCATTAATAAATATATACAGCAATAAATATATTAATTGATGCACAACATACAAGTTTAAAATATAACTAATTTTAATGTTCATAAGAAAACAATAACAATAAAAATTTTGAAAAATCAATCTATTAATAAAAAATAAAATTTGATACATCTCTAACAAATTTTGCATCATACGTCACGATGCTTGAGACATGACATAAATCTCGATACAACTTTTTGAATAATAAATCTTCAAATATTGATAAAAACTCATACAGAACTCAAATTTCAACAAATATACGGTCAAACTGACTGACTCGACAAAAAGAACTCAATGCTACCAAAATTAGTCCAATCTAAGTCAAATCAAACTCAGATCGAGTCATTAAACTACGCTTGAAAGTTTTTCGGAAATATTTAGAAGATTAAATAAATGTTGAATCTATCAAGCATATAATCGAATCAAGCGTCTCGACAAGACGAATCCAACGTGCCCGATACTGTTCAATTCTGACATTATTTAGGCATTCAAATGTTCATCGAATGTCGTTTGATCAAAAGAAGTAATCTAGATCATCTGATCAAAGTAATTTATATTCCTGCATTCATTGCACACAAAACATTATAAATAGAGTTTCACCCCTTTCATGAGAGGGGGCAGAAGGCTTGAGAGAGAATTTATTACATTAAACCCCTGACCGCAGTCGATCACCGCCAGCCGCCGATCACCGTCGACCACTGCCGACTGCCTTCAATAACCACTAAATGCCGTGGAGCACTTCTGTCGCCGTCAACTATCACCGACCGTCATTAACTGCTGGTCATCGTCGGTCACCGCCAATCATTGTCGAATACGTCGATCGAAAGCCGCGACTCTATGTTGTAGTTTGAAAAATATAGTAATCATTTCCCGTCTATAAGACAAAGGGTCTTTGTAAATATTAGCTTATAGTGAATTTTTACATCTTGGTCAGTTCCTATGATTTTTCTCTTTTAGGGTTTTCCACGAAAAATTTTTTTGTGTCATTATTAGTTATTTTTTTATCTAAGTGTGTGTTGAATTATGTGTAACATTAAGATGATAATTCATTATTGTATGATCCTACATTTTCTAGCACATGTCAACAATAAAAGAAAAAAGAAAAAAAAAATGTATTAAGAGTTATCATGAAAATTAGTCAAGATTATTACTTGTGAACGTCATTGCTAACATATTGCAGTTACTTATATTATTATTATAACTTATATAGCGACTGAATGAAATGTTTGTCGCCTTATCTTTAAGAAATCTGTCGATTTTGTCTCAAGCCTGTCGGTCTGACACAAATTTGTGAATGTGATTGATGGTTAATTAGCTTGGGATTTTAAAGTAAGGGCAAAGGCTAACTGCAAATTTGTGCAATAATTTTGACAGACATTGCTTCACTAAATTACAGCTTTTCCACACGTCAAAGTACTTCGCGACGGAGCCGAGCTTCATCAAACGAAGCCTCAGCATGCAATCATTTGAATTTTCCCCTATGAACACCGATTGCATTGGAGGCTTTGTTTTCCTTATCTCTTAAAATTATATGGTAGTAATCCAGATGCTTTGATGGGATCATATGTTAACAAGCAAAACAAGTCTTGTGAATCGGAGTAAGTAAAGACATCACAAGGATGAGTTTCAATCTAACCATTAACCATAGGTCAACCGACACGGATATATTAGAGCTCAGCCATTGATTGTGTGGCCGGCCCAAATGGGGGACAAAACAAAAAGCCTGATAATGATAGAGTTGCTGAATGAGAAAAGACGACCCAAAAACTGGTCGAGTTACGAATCGATTAACCTAGATAGCCTCAGGGAAAAAATAAACCAGCATGAGGGCGAAACATTGGATAACTGCCAATAGCAAAATAAGGGGGTCAATTGATTAAAAAATAATAAAGCCATAGTCGCTATTTTATAATATCTTTTCTCTTCTAGAGGATTGGAAAATATTGAGTAAATTATAAGAACTCAAGACTAAGATATATAATTCTCACACTTTTTATATTATATCTCTTTCTTTCACAAGGTGTCACACACACGAAAATATTAATATCACAAGGTGTCAGTTATACGAAAATGTGTCAGACATATTAAAATGTGTCAATAATGATAACAATAACTGATAACTCTCAGAGATATTAATAATTGACAACTCTAAGAGACAATAATAATCGACAATTCCCAAGGGATAATGACTTATAACTCCGAGCAACAATGATGTAATTTTTACATTTTTATACTCCTATCATCTATAAATATGATGCCCTTTTTCATATAAGGAAACTAAGGTCATTTGGGTTTTCCATTCATTTAGGCATAGCTCTCATCTTGTATTGCAACACTTCTTTCAATATATAAAATGCATCTAAGAGCCCACGAAAGATATCTTCTTTGCTCCCCTGAGGTCAATAATTACATTACTTTTTCTCTCAGTCTCTTTTTCCATATCTATCAGTTTCTATGCTCTATTCACTAGACATGATCTACGTGATAAATTAAAATTCAATAATATCAGAAGCAAATATTATATTTAGTGTGTATATAGAAATATACATCTATTAAGTCACACATAAATAATTTCTATTTCTATCATTTAATATTAATGATTGTTCATAAAATGGCTAATATTTTTTGCTATTGAATTGCCGTGCAAGCATCTTCGTAGCACATTGTCCATAAAATATACTTGCCTATATCTAAATTTGTAAATTTAAACTCTGTTATATCGAAGTAAAAATTAATGAAGGGTACACTCATCAAGGACTATCGATCATCCAAAGTCCAATAAGGAGACGCCACGTGTAAAGTGGACCCATCACAATACACTGTGATTGATTCACTTTACACGTGTTGCTCTCCTATAAGACTTCGAATGCATCCGGAGTTTCGACCTAATTTTTTCTCGTCAATATGAGAAAAATTTGCGTACGTAAGACATTTTAAGAGCCGCATATATCAGAGTTTATTTAGAGGGTATTAAGGGGTTATATCCGCGTTATACCCCTGTAGGCTGTAATATCTCCGTAATCTACTTATAACATTCCAATACCCCCTGAATAACCTCTGATGTACTCAACTTTACAATAGGAGATGTTTCAAATAGGGCTGTCAAAACGGCTCGTTGTTCGAGAACAGCTCGTGTTCGACTCGTTAATTTCGTTCGATAAGTTAACGAGCCGAACATTGACTAAGATGCATTAAGTTTATATATATATATTAAGTTGTATTTTAAAAAAATCTAATTGACTACAAGGCTACAAAGATGTATAATCAATTAAAATATTGATTAAGAAAATAGAATAAAAATTATTAAATTAGATTCAAATTATGTTTTAATATAAATAATAATTTTTAAATATTGCTCAAATTCTTATTGTCTTATGTCTTATGTCTTATGATTACATGATTAGAATTGTTAAAAGGACACTTTTGTTCGTGAACAGCTCGTGTTCGGCTTGTTAAGCAAACGAGCGGAACATGAACACATTTTTTAGACTCAAAATATAAACTAGGTTTAGACCCCTAGTTTCAAAAAGAAAACTTATTTTAATAATGGGATGAGGAAGTCAAGTGTCTAACTCGGCGTACTCGTCTTCTACCGCATTGTAAGCTCCGGCTGAGAACCTCTATCGCAAAACCCTATTGGTTCCCTGCTCCTCTCTGCGGTCGAACTCACGCTGCTCTATCTCCCTCTCCGATCCAGCACATGGCAGCACTCCGTCGCTTGAGACCCGTCCCAGATCCCTCCCTTCTTCCCTCCAAAGAGCAGCTCCATTGACTCAGCATCTCCTGCCAACCTCACTCCCCCAAATCCTCCTTTCGCAGACGTCGGGAGCTCTTGGGCTCACCGGCAGTGCTTGTTCTCTTTAACAAGAATAGGATTGCTCCCCGCAGCTCTTTTCTTCCTCCGGGTATCAAACCAACCCAGCAGCCCGTTTCTCAAGCTTGCAGCCTCCATCTTCTAATTCCCTATCTACTAACCCTTATTATTCCACCATTCTTCCCTTGCTCCCAAACTCAAAGTCCAGAAGGTCCCAGCAGCTCCCTTTACTTCTCGAGCTCATCAAACTTGGTAGTTGCCTTAAGGTAAATGGAAGAGAAATGGATTTACAATTTCTGTGAGATTTATTGTTTTAATTTTGTTATTTTTCGATGCTTAAATCCTACCCGATTTCAGCTACCAAATAGTTACAAAGATTAAATCTCATTTTAACTGTGTTGTAAAGTTTCCCTTTATTGCGATGTTAAGAATCTGTAGGTTTATAATTGTAATTTTGAATGTATTTTAGTGAGGCCGCAATCAGATTCAAGGTTTTGCAGGATTTTTGGTTGCCATTTGAGTGATTTGATTGCAGGATTTATGGCTGCTGTTTTAATTGTTTTAAAAGGTTCATATTATACTCATATTTATATTTGTTGCTTGCTAGAAAATTCGCAGCAGTAGAGCGAGAATTTAACGTCTTAGTGCTGTGTGAAAATCTAAAACACATTGATAAGAGAAAAACAACGGAAAGAGACAATAAGATTTTTTTTTTTTTGTGAAAAAATCTTGGAAAGAGAAAAAAACCACAAGCTCTGGTCTAGTTAAAATCATACACTATCTAATTAGGAGTACAAATGATCACTCTTCACATGCATTAGGGAAGATAATATTTCAAAAATGGTCACAAATTTATAGTAGTAGTTTAACAACAAAAATCATAATTGGACTACAAAAGTTACATTTGGCGGCTACAATAATAGTAATTGGTCACAAAAGTTATATTTGGTTGCTATAATGGTCGTAGTTAGCTCTAACAAATGTTGGTGGCCAGAGCCGTAATTGGTGGTGGTTGATAATGACCGGTGGTTGATGATTGGGTAACTGATGATAATTACCGAGACTTTAAGAATTAGGCTTTAGTAGTCATCTCACTCTTCTATTCTCTTCCCTCTTTAGGGGGCCTATTTATAGTTTTTGAGAGAGACTTTTTTATAAATTTTATCAATATACCAAAACACTATAACGGATGATCTACATTGAATCCCATGATCACATGTAGTTTTTTCAATATTTATGTATCTTAATGATATCAGAATTGAATGATCTCGTACTTGTCGGATTACTCCAATCGAGCCGCTCGACTTGAATATAAATAAGCCGAAGTTTGAAATGGATTGTCTTTCCAATTAATGCATCAATGTATTTGATTGTACTTTAAGTGTTTGATTTAGACTTATTTTGACTTGAATTAGGTCTCTTTTAGCATCACTGCGTTCATCTTGTAGAGACGATTAATTTGATTATAATTTTGTGAAAATTGAGGCACGGATGATCATGAATTTAAATTTAGATTATTTTTTATTCAAAATGTATCGAGATTTGTGCTTGATGATAAAAATTTCTTGATGACACATCAATACTTGAAACTGAAACAGTAGATCTTGAAAATCAATGGTTATCATTCCTATTGTTCTGAAAAAAATTGAGGCTAGATATGTATATCTAGAAGTTTTGTAGGGTTCACTTTGTCATTTTCGGGATTTGGCATTATAAAGTATTTACATGCATATATATAAGTAAATTTGTTTTTTAATATAAAATTTAAAAAATATGTAGAATTTGATTTTTATAATTTATGATATTTTTATAAATTTAAACCAAATTGTATACACATTTATATGTAACAAAAACAATTGCTTAACATTTTTGTAGGGATTAAAGTTTTCATTGCCTATTTTTTTGGGTGAGAAATGGGAACTAAGATTCACAAGGATTTAAGATTGTCATTTGTTGTCTTGTTAGGTTTAAGTTAATCTTGTCAGCCACTTTACATGAAATAAATAAATAAATAAATAAATATATATATATATATATATATATATATATCTGTGTGTGTGTAGATGCGGTGCTAAGTTCTTTAGGGCTGTTGGATATGTGTGTGTGTGGGTGTGTGTGTGTGTGTGTGGGTGTGTGGGTGTGTTTGTGTGTTTTTGTGTGTGTGTGTGTAGACGCGGTGCTAAGTTCTTTAGGGCTGTTGGATATTAATGTAATCGGCCTGGAAATAGTCACAGGTGAGATTCATTATTGTTGAGGCATTGAATTAAAGGCGAGAATTTTTAAAGTGTGACTAAATATTTAAATTCTTCCCTTATATGATTAGATTGCATTGGGCAAACCGTGTTTATTCCACTCAATAATTTGAATTAAGCACATTAGGAATCATGCACTTATTTTAAGAATTCATAAATTATGCCACTGGATGTATGTGGAGGTTCTTAAATGAAGGTTTCTTGCATACCTCTTGGATTTAAGGTTTTTGGAAGGCTATCAACTTTAGTTGTGCATGCAAGAAAGTAAAGGTTTCTGTGAGGTACTCTCGTGGTGTGAGATTATTTGGATTCCCTCTTCTTCTTCTAAGTGTGGGTGTACTTTGAAAATTTATGAAGAGTGGCGAGTGTCCTGATATGTATTTCAAGATTTTGGCTTTTTTTTTAATAGATATGATCATTTCTCATCTGTTCTAGATGTAGGCTTAATTGAGGCCAAACTACATAAATCTTGGTGTTTTCTTTGTGGTTGCCTTGTATTTACCTTTTTTATTTGTTTGTGGCACATAGTTCATGATTCTGGTAGCACTTTCGTTTCAAGCTATTTGGTGCACGTATTTCTTTGTATTTAGTACAATTTACCATTTATTACTTCCATGATGAAGAATTTTTTTAATTCTTTCATGTTCGATGGACTAGATATAGTGTAAGCAAGGGGAATAGACCATGGAAGATTCTAAAGCACAATTGTCTTCTGGATATGCTATGGGACCACCTTGGTTATTCAAAGGAAGGAAAGACTTTATATCTTGGCTTACTTTTGAGTTATCTTATTTAGCATTATGAATCCACACGAGTCTTTTCAGGCACCGGCGAAGATCTTAATTCATCAAATTCGATTCGTTTGATTTTCAGTGCACTGTACCAATTGCATCTTGTTAAAGCAGAAGTTGCTCGCGCTTTCATTCCGAAGGACTTTAAACTAGTTGAAGCATTTGGGTATTTTAACATTCTTCAGATATTGCTTTCATAATTTTGCTCATTGAAAATTGTTGTCTCAGATGTGATCCAACTTATTTTTACAGCTATACACTTGGAGGTTTCTTCCTTGCTTGCTATGATGATAGTCCGGTGGGAAGGTTTGATGAGGTTCCGCATGTTTATGCTCCAAAAAAACCAATATGAAATTTCTTTGTGGTTGCTGTTTTGAAGGACATTTTCTGTTAGGTTTCTTTATTGTTTTAGAGATCTATGCATGTAGCATCTTATCTGTTTTAGAGATCTATGCATGTAGCATCTTACCGATTGATGATGTTTGTGAGACATACTTATTGTTGGAACTATTCTCTGACGTAATGTACTTCATTTTGTTATTCTTAGCTAGTGGTGATTGCAGGCATTGTGTGGAACCCTCCAACTTCTTGTGCGTAAGCATCTTTTTTATGTTTTCTGACTGAAAGTTTTTGGTAAAAGAAGTGCACTCTTGCTTGTACACTTTTACTTAAGTTATATATATATATATACCAATTTCCCATGCACTAGGCCCCATGATGAGGGCTCACGCCATGTGCCTAAATATTCGAGAACCCAGCGCCACTGAGGATCGAATGTGTGACCTGAGGGGACTTACAGTGAATCCCGCCAACCAACAGACCACGGCTTGCGACACACACACACAGACACACACACACACACATATAAATTGTTTATTCTTCTTTATTGGCTGCCCAGGAGAGATACTATTGCTATTAATACGGAAAAAAACTAATTATGAACAAAAAACTACTGGTCTTTCTTTTTTAAAAGATGATAGAAATACTGTTCATTATCATGCTTTAATCAAAAAGAGAAGAAGGCAAAATTATATTGTGCGAATCAAACATTATAATGATAACATTATTCAACCTCTTACGAGTTTCTTTACTGCTTTTCTTGATATTTCTCTGGCAGGTGGGCTGCTAGAGTGTTGGTTAGCAAGGAAGAAGCCTGTCGGCATGGGTGCAAGGTATTTTAGACATCTTGTACAAACCTTTTCCTATGCAGTGTTGCTACCATTACTCTACCTGAAGAAGCCACGTATTTTTATTTTTATTTAATTTTTTTTTTTGGTTGTAGGAAATTGGTCTCCCAAGCCATGTTGGAATATTCTCGAAGGTAGGTTTTATAATTCGGAGCTAAATTGCTTTACATCTCAAGGCTTAAAGTCCTACATATCTCCATAATCTGGCAAAGTTTTATTCAGAGTTTTAGGACTATTCTAATCTTTTCATGGAGCGGGGTTTGTTATCCGTAGTCAAACCAATAATATCTCCTAAAATATGTATTTCCTTCATTCCCTCTATGTATGATAAAATAGATAACAATGGGACTTAATATCAAATAAACGTGATTATTCATAATTGAATAATGTGGAATTACGCTCATTATTATTTACTTTAATGTTATTTAGTACTTGCT